GTGGAGGCCTTGGTAGCTGTGGACAATTAGTCCTTCGGACTAATCTTTTCCTTGTATCCTGTTCTCTTCACTCTCCCTTGCTCCCGAAGGGATGAGACCAGTGGAGTATCTTAGATGGCTTTTAAGACCCCAGACACTACTCACCAAGGTAAAACGTAGAGCATTGTCTTTATAAGCTGGTCATGCCAATTGAGCAGCTCTTTATTTTTATCTTTATTTAATTTCATCACATCCCTAAGCTCAAAATCTCAGCCGTTTCCTCCACCAGGAAATCCTATATAATGTTCTTTCATAACTATCCCTTCATTTTTCAATTCCCATACACTACTTAGTTCAAGTTCTCCATGACTTTGGGCATTATTAAACTTTATCACTAGTTATTGAGCTTTGCTTCAAGGTACTGTGGTGAATACTGTAGGAAAGGATAGGGAAGGAAAAAAGATTAACATTTATTGAGTGCCTACTGTGTGCCAGGAGTTTTTCTTGAACTCTAGTCTTAAAACATCCATTTTACACAAAATGTCTTTATTTAATCTTTGAATAAATTACTCAGAAAGATGTGCCACTAAACTTCAAGTATCTCCTGGCATACTTGGTACTGCTGAATACCTCAACAACCCCTGAGAATCTGAGTGTCTTCACTGAAGAAACATGGGTCCACAATATTCCTTTATCTACCAACTGATCTTTCATAAAAGAAAATAAAGCATGGCATGACTCACGCTTTTAAAAAATCCACAGTCATTTTACATTCATTGCAAAGTATCATATTCACAAGCCACCTACTAATAATCTGATCTATAACAGCTACACAGCATTGGCCTTACTATGTACCAGGTACTGTTTTGAGCACTTATTAGTAACTAATTTTATCTTTGTGACAACCCTAAAGAGGTAAGTACTATTACAATCCATATTGCATAGAAGAGGGAACTGAGGCACAGAAAGGTTAAGGAACACGTATCTATGGTCACAGTAAATATCTCGATGTGCTATCAACCATTATGCCAGGCTGCCTTTCTGACTGATATAAAACTTCTCAGAC